GCCCCCCCCCCCCCTCTCTACAATACAAGACATGATTTGTCCCATTTAGTGACTCTTCCCCGTTCAGAGCCGTCACATGACCGCCCTCCTCCAATAACAGTCCGTTTCTCCTCCCGCAGCGATTTCTGCTCCAAGGTGAAGAACACCATTTACTGCATCGTGGATCCGTCCGACTCCAACATGTTGTGGGAGCAGGAGTTCATGCTGGACACCATCATCAACCCGTCCGCGCACAGCTACAACTGCGGCATGCTGGGAAAACTGCTGAGAGACACGCCCACCAACCGCTACAGCTTCGTGTGCAATGCGCTGGTCCATGTGTGCGTCGGAGACCATGACATAGACAGGTGAGGGGGCCGACGGATCAATGACGGGGGGGGGCGGGGCCTGGGGGCGATGACGTCATAGGACACGGTGTCACACACCAGTCTTGGTGTCTTTTTTTTATTCGGCAGGGTGAACGACATCGCCATTCTGTGCGCGGAGCTCACCGGGGCCTGTAAAGATCTCAGTTCAGAATGGCTGGGGGTGCTCAAGGCTCTCTGCTGCTCGTCCAACAACGGAACCTGCGGCTTCAATGACCTGCTGTGCAACGTAGATGTGAGTTCTACGCCCCATTGTGAGCGGACTGGAGAGATCAAACCACGCCGAGCTTGCCATGGGGAATCGTACCCGCCGGCCCTTTATGTGAAAACCCCAAGTACCCCTTTTTGCTGATGTCACATGACCTCAGTCTCCTCCTTGCTCACAGGGCAAGGGGTGGAGTCTCTGACACCCGAGGCCAGGCCCCAGCTCCCTACTGGAGCCTCTGTCAATCTGCGGCTATGGCCGGGCCGGGATGTCTGGGCCCAGGCAAGCTACTAGATCAGTGGTGCGCAGCTCCGACCCTCCAGCTGTGCTTTGACTGCAAATCCCATAATCCCTCTGCCTCTGGGGGGGGGGGGGGGAATATGTACCTCATGGGACTTGTAGTTCCAGAACAGCTGGAGGGTCGCATTTGGCCTCCCCTGATCTAGAGTGTACAGGACCCCATATGTCCCTACAACATCCTGTACACTGATACTGCAGAAGCTCTGGGTGCCTCTGAAGTGCCCCCGGGTCTTCCTGTTGTCCTCATACAGGGAGGAAGTTGAAGCTGCTGGCAGAATCACCGGGTGTCACCACCCCTGTCCTGGACGGATGTGAGGAAGGGCACCCCTCCCCCTCCTCCTTACAGCAGCTATGCATTTGTCTATCTACACTGCAAGTTCAGGTTTACAAAGAATCCCCCAGCACCCCTCCCTACCCCACTCAATGCAATCAGCCGCCCCCGCTCCCAGGCGCGGGTCCATACTTCTAGGTACCCTATGAGCACACTGGCAGCGTGGCTCCTGAGATGTCCGTTTCTGATTGTTGGTATTTCCATGTTTCCTTTTTATAATATTCTCCTTTTTCCTCTTTGTTCAGGTGAGCGATCTTTCCTTTCACGACTCCCTCGCTATCTTTGTTGCCATCCTGGTCGCCCGTCAATGCTTCTCGCTGGAGGATCTGATCCGCTGTGCCGCCATCCCGTCCCTTCTTACTGCCGGTACGTTACCCTTAGTTACCCGTGAATATATTCTGTATGTAGGAACATGACACGCCTGCTGTGCCGTGACTTCCCCTGCTCATCTATGTATCGGGCTGTCCTGGGTGATGGTGCCTTATAGGGATGCACCGATACTACCCTGTTCCCCTGAAATATAAGACCTCCCCCGAAAATAAGACCTAGTTGTGACCATTCCCAGGGCCGGCGGTGGCATAAGGGGGAACTTGAAGAGCCGCGGGAGAGAATCAGCGGTGCCAACGAAGCCGGCGCTAGAGGAAGCGAGGCGGCAGCGGAGGGAGCAGAGCCGCATAAGCCCACGCCTCCTCTGTAGCCCCGCCTCCTGTCACAGGCGGAGTGATACCAAATGCGCCCCGCCTGTGAGGAACCCATAGTGAAAGCACGTTTCCCTCATTCTCACCAGCGATTGGTTACCAAATTGCTCTTGGAGAGGTACGGTTGCCCTGATCACCCGATTCTTAACTTTGCCATTTTGGATGATTTAAATTTGGATTTGCGTTAACTTTGGATTGTTGTACATTAAAAAAATAAGGCCTACCCCGCAAATAAGACCTAGGTGCGTTTTTTTGAGCCAAAAAAAATATAAGACAGTGTCTTATTTTCGGGGAAACACGGTAGGTACTACTGGTGCCAATACGGGGTATCTGGGCGAGTACTCGTGCTCGCTACTTATCCCGAAACCGGAACTACCAGTCAGTGGGAGGCCTCCCTCTGACTGGTGGTGCTGCAAGGGAGCATGGAGCCGGCTTCCCAGCCAATCAGGATGCTGGGCAGCAGATTATGACCCGCCTCCCGGTTCCGGATTGGCCAGGCTGCCTAGCAATAAGTGAAGCCTGGTTCCTAGCCATACAGGTCACGTCATGCCCCGCCTCCTGACTTCCGGGTTGGCTAGGAAGCCGGTTTCACTTGTTTATAGGCAGCATGGCTTCCTGACCAATCAGGAGGCCGGGCGGCACGTCATGACCCACTGCCTGGCTTCCTGATTGGTCAGGAAACCAGGCTGCCTTGCAGTGTCACGAGGGAAGTGAAGCCAGTGCTCTTTCGATAGAAATCTGGCTTCCCGGCCAATCAGGAAGCTGGGCAGCAGGTTATGACCTGCCTCCCGGTTCCGGATTGGTCAGGAAGCCAGGCTGCCTAGCAATAAGTGAAGCCAGGTTCCTAGCCATACAGGTCACGTCATGACCCGCCTCACGGCTTCCTGGTTGTCTAGGAAGCCGGCTTCACTTGTTTGGTCAGGAAGCCAGGCTGCCTCGCGAGGGAAGTGAAGTTGGTGTCCTTTCAATAGAAATGTGGGTTCCCAGGCGAGTCATGAAGCCGCCCGGCAAGTCATGACCCACAGCCCGGCTTCCTGATAATCTGGGTATCGGTATCGGCGAGTACCGAAAAACCAGTATCGGTGCATCCCTAGTGCCTATTAAATACTCATGCCGTATTGCACATCATTTAAATTCCCGCCGGCCTCGGCGTCACTGAAGGGTTAATCTTTTTCTGATGTCGGCTCGGGAAGTTTTTATTCTTCTCTCTGTCATTGTTAAAGTTCCCATAACACATAAAAACATTAAAAAGCGTAAATGAAACCATTAGCGTTTAATGGCGCGCTATTTTTATCTTGCGTGAAATAAGAAATTCCCTCGAAACGCAGACGTCGTAGTAAATCCACCGCCGGCAATTATCATCTGGCGGAGATTGCACGCGTTCCTCTCCTTATTATTGCGATGTTGTTGCGTTGCGTAGGAAGTGTTAAAAGCAGCAGATTGCGACCGCCGCTCTTCATAAATAACACCTCCCTCTGTTGTATCACAAGAGAGCAGATTCTCAGCATACACTCAAATAATTGCATTGTGCTTCTACGGAAAACAAAACACCGCGGCGGCGATGGTGATAAATCTCCTCTACCGAGGTGCTAAAAGAGAACAAAACGAAGATATTCAAATATGTTACTTTGTATAAAAGTCGTGATGATGATTTATTGTCATCATTAGAAATATTATATATATTAGGATTTCAAAAAAAAATTATATATATATATATATATTATAAAGGGATGCACCCATACCGATACCAGTATCGGTGCCAATGCCGAGTATTTGCCCAAATGCTCCAATGCCTAGCCCGATACTTTCAGTAATGACTCGCCGGTGACGAGGCAGCATGCAGCTGGCTTCCCGGCCAAATAGAGTCATTACATGCTGCCCTGCTTCCTGATCGGTCGGGAAGCTGGCCAATCGGGAAGCCGGGCGCCGTGTAATGAAGCGACGGGCGGCTTTTTGATTGGCCGGGAAGCCGGTTTCATGCTCCCCCGTCACCACATGACAAGTTAGCATGGAGCCAGCTTGCCAGGCAGTCAGGAAGCCGGCTCTGTGCTTTCTCATCACCTAGTGACGAGAAGCATGGGGGACGGCCTCCCTGCTAATCGGGAAGCCGGCCGGTGAGTCTTTACGCGCCGCCCGGCTTTTCGGCTAATCAGGAAGCCAAGTGACTAGTCTTTACACGCCGTCTGGCTTCCTTAATGGGACTTCCAGTACCGGTATTCGGTAGGGATGCACCGATACCGATACTAGTATCGGTATCGGTGCCGATACCGAGTATTCGGGTGAGTACTCTTACTCGGCCAAATGCTCCGATACCTAGCACGAGCACTTCCTGTATCGGGAAGCCGGGCAGCGCATCATTACACGCTGCCCGGTTTTCCTGATTGGCCGGGAAACGGCTCCATGCTCTCTCGTCACTTGTGATGACAGAGCATGGAGCCGACTTCCCGGGCCAATCAGGAAGCCGGGTAGCGTGCAATGACGCGCTGCCCGGCTTCCCGATCGGTCAGGAAGCTAGCAAATCCGGAAGCCGGGCGCTGTGTAATGACGCAGCGCCCAGCATTCTGATTGGCCGGGAAGCCGGCGTCATGCTCCCTCGTCATCTCATGAATCATAATATTAGGAAAGTGACCTTAAAGCATTCGTTTGCATTGCTTTAGAAAAAATGTGACCTGTCCCTTTAAGAAAAAGTATCGGTAATTGGTATCTGCGAGTACTTGATCAAAAGTATCGGTACTCGTACTCGGTCTTAAAAAAGGTGGTATCGGTGCATCCCTAGTATTCGGCATCGGCAAGTGCCGGAAAGCCGGTTGTTGAGTCTTTACACACCGCCCGGCTTTTCGGCCAATCAGGAAGCCAAGTGACGAGTCCTTACACGCCGTCTGGCTTTCTTAATGGCGCTTCCAGTATCGGTATTCGGTATCGGCGAGTTGCGGGAAAAAAAAAATATCGGTACTCAATACCTAAATACAGATATCGGTGCATCCCTAGTATTCTATAATAATTTCCTCTTCCTGCGGGTCCGTCTTCTCCCATTGGGCAGACACTGATGATGTCACTCCTATATGTGTGCTGGAGTTCCATTGTCTCGGTCAGATTCGGTGACTGGACATTGTACTGTGCACGCCCCGCGCTCATTGTGCCGCAGGTAAGCACCAGACTCCTGAATTCTCTTCTGACAGACCCGACCGGCCGCTCTCATTGTTGAAGGTTTATGTCGCTGTAATGGAATCGGATCGCCTGTTATACGCGGCGGATATGAACCCGATCTCATTGTTCTTTCAGCTTGTAGTGAGCAAGACTCGGAGCCCGGCGCTCGCCTCACATGTCGCATTTTGCTGCATCTCTTCAAGACGCCTCAGCTGAACCCGTATGAACCGGACGGCAGTAAGTGAGAAGCGATTTGGGCCCGTAGTGGGGGAATCCGGAAGAATAATGGACGAAGTGCCACTTCCCCCTCCACTCGTCAGAACATTCTTCTAGGAAGCCACGAGGCTGGATGGCGTTTTCATACATTCTCATTCTCTCTCTCTCTC